AAAAAAAGGCCCCCAGAAAGAAGCATAGATTTGGGGCCCGCTGGCACCTCAAAAACATCCCCCTGCTCGACCGGGGCGGCGCCCTGCGCCTAGGACGGCGCAAGCCTGCGCAAGCACAATGCCGCCCGCTCACTGTCGCTCTCCACGCGGCCCAAGCCACGGGGCCCTGGCCCATCCTGGACTGGGCGGGGGGTCCAGGCCCCCCCCCCCCCAGCGCCCCTAGCGGCCCAACCCCTCGCCGCGCTGGGGACCGCGCCGGCGCGGGCGCCGGCGTCGGCGCCAGCGTCGGCGCGGGCGAGATCGGCATGGACGTCGACGCTGGAGTCGCAGCTGCTGGCGGCTCGCCCACGGGCGCGCGGGCGCGCGCAAGGAAGCGGCTCGCCCACGAGCGGCTCGCTCCTCGCCCCCGGCGTCACCAGGAGCCCCGCGGGCCCGCGGCCGCAGCGGCGGCCCAGGATCTGCGGGGCGCGGGCAAGCCCTCGAGTCCTGGACAACGGGCCGAGCCCCGCGCCTCGCCAGGGCGCGCTCACCGCCCAGCCCCACGGGCCCCCGCGGCGCCCAGGAAGCCGGACCCACGGCCGAGGCAAAGCCGGCTGCTGCTGAGACGTCGCCCCCAAGGCTCGCCACGTCGCGGCTGGGCCCCGCAAGGCCACGCCCGCGGCCTGCGCCGCAAGGGCGATACGGGCGAACGCCAAGGCGGACCACACAACGCACACGTCCAGGAGCGCGCCCTTAGGCGCGACAACGCCCACCACCACGACCATCGCAACGACGGGCACGAGCGCGCTGGAGAGCACTTGCCGCAGCAGTTGAGCTCGGCGAAGAAAGGTCGCCATGGCGGTCACCGCTCCACGCGGCTGCCCACGGCTCGCCAGCCCCCCACCGCGCTCCGGAGAGCTCTGGGATATTGACGGCGCGCCCAACATCTGCGCAAGCCTGACCTGGGGCACTCCCGCGGGCCCAACCACAGTCGCCGAAGCAGACCCGCCCCTGCCAACCGCTGGAAATCCTGACGTGGCCCCATCGGCGTCGCTGCGGGCAGAGACGTCGGCAGGGCACGCCAGCCCTCCAGCGCGCAACGGGGTGTCTGGGAGCGCCAACGGAGCGTCGAGCACCTGCGCAAGAGCTCAGGGCACACCCTCCGGCACGTCCTCGCGACCACACAGATGTTCTAGTGGTGGGGCGGGCCCGACCCTGCCAACTGGCCCTGGCCCTCAGGCCAGACCCCGCGCGACCACGTCGACGGTCTAGCGGCGGCAGCCGTGGTCAAGCGCCAGCGCCAGGGCTGCCGACGACACCGCGCGCAGACACGATGGCTGGCGACGCGGCCGCCAGTATCGCCCTGGCGATACTGGACAAGCACACGAGAGGGCCGCGAACTCCGTCTCCCGCGCGCCGACCTCCACGTTCGAGCGGCCCCGGCGCAGCGCCTCTGGCGGCCAGCGGCGACCGCGACGGCGACGACTGGTCGTCGGCCCTGCCAGACGACCATCGGCGAGCCCCTCTCCAAGGGGCGGGCTGGCCCGCCTGCCGGCTTCGTCCACAGAACCGGCCCCTGGCGGGCGCAGCTCGACGGGGGCCTCGCGCCGCTCCCCCCCAGGCCGCGGAGGGCGACCACCGCCCGGCCCCAGCGCTGCGCCACCCAGCTCCGCGCCCGCCCACATTCCAGATCGTCGCCCCGCATCCGGCGGGGCGCCCCTCGGCGAGGGCGACGGCGTCAAGTATGGCGCCGGCGTCGGCGGCCCGGGGCGGCCGAGGCTAACCGCTGCGCGGCCCCTCGCCCCCTCTGGCCCGGCTGCCAGTATCCAGACCCCCAACCCGCTGACCTTGAAGGCCCAGGTCGCGAACCCCCAAATTCGCACGGGCGCGGGCTCGCCAAGCCCAGCCGAGGGCGGCAAACCGTGCGTAGACACGTCCGCCTCCTCAGTGCACCACCAGCATGATCAGCAACCTCGAGGGCGTCAACCCTCGCTGCCGAAGCCGGGTAGCTCCGCCAATGCTATAGGATCGGGCTCTCTCCCGAGGAGTCCCCCTCCCCCTCCACCCTCCACACCACTTACTGTAGTCGAAGATGTGGGCGTAGTCGTGGTGGTGGTAGCCGTCGTGGTACCAAGATGCCGCCCCTATCCGGGGGCTGGCGGTGGGGTGGGCGATCGCCCCTTCCCAAGCGCGGCACACGCCTTCGCGGCTGGCGGTTTCGCTCCAGGCCCCGGTGCCCCTCGCCTTGAGGGCTGCAAATTGCGCTGGGGGGAGGGACGGTAGGCCCTGGCACCCGCCTTACAGGCTCGGTCGCCGACGACGTGGGGTCCACGCGATTCAGCCCTCGACCGAGCGGCCAGCATCCGTTGGCCTGGATTCTGTGCACCCCGCCGACGAGGATCACCGCAGCGGGCACCACGAGCCCCCAAGGCCCCATCGCTGCGAGCCCCCCCCCCTGCGCGCGAGCGTGGTTTTGGACGGACACGGCCCACCGGCACAACCCCGTGGCTCGAGTCTCAAGGCTGCGGAGCCAAAATGGGCAAACCAAAGTCCCCACCCCCGCCGCACATAACCTGCAGTCTCAACAACCAGACTATCAAAAGAGAGAGAGAGAGAGAATGGAAAAAACGCTCTTCTGATTTTCGTCGTCGTCGTCCGTCATCCGTCGTCCTTCGCGTCGTCGCCGTCGACGTCGTCGTCGTCGTCTGCGCCGTCGCCGTCGCCGTCGCCCCCTTTCCCTGGGGCCTCATCCTCAAGCGCGCCAGCCAATGTGAAATTGAGCAACGTCGCAGTTGCTTCCCTTTGATCCTCTCCCCGCGGAGGGGGGTGGTGTCCCAGAAGGGTGCCAGGGGGGGTCCTGGCCCGTTCCTGGGGGGGGTCCAGGGGTGAGGGGGGGTCGGGGGGGGTGGGCCTGGGTCAGAATATTATTCCCCGAAGGAGGGGTCCCAGGGCCAAACAAAAACCCAAGGCGGGCCAAGAGTGCCCCTAGAGGCCTCCAAGACGGTTCAAGAGGGCCGCGAATCGCCGAATTATCCATCCCAGACGCCACACATGGCCTCCAGACGGTCTAAGACACCTCCACGAGCACTCCGACGGGGGCCGCAAGAGGAAAAAATGGTTTTTGTCCGCATATGTGTGTTAAAAGACGTTGGTGTTCTCGCCTTCGCAACTCCACGACGCTCCAAGAATGCCCAAGAGGACTCCAAGACCGCCCCAAGATCGCCCAGAGATAGCCCCAGAAGTCTCCAAGAGGACCCCGAGGGCTCCAAGAGGCCCCAAAGACGGCCCGAGAGATCCCCGAGTCGCCGAAAGATCGCTCGAAGACGCCCAAGCTGGCCCCAGGACGGCCCAGGAGGCCTCCAAGACACCCCAAGAGGCTTCCAAGAGGCCTCCCAGGAGGACCCAAAGAGGCACAAATCATTGATTGTCCCTTGAATTTGCTGAAGGACTTTGGCGTTCTCGCCTTTTCTGCTTCCCCATGCTCTAAGACGGCCCAAAAGGCCCCCCAGACCACCCCAAGACAGCCCAAGAGGTCTCCAAGAGGGCGCCAAGACGGCCGAAGAGCGCACCAAGACGGCCCAAGAGGCGCGCAAGACGGCCCAAGAGGGCCGCAAGACAGCCCCAAAATGGGCCCAAGAGAGGGAACACGAATCGAAAATCCGAGCCTTCCGCCCCAAGAGGCCCCCAGGAGGCCAAGAGGCCCCAAGTGGCCCCCAAGAGGCCCCCAAGAGGCCCCAAGAAGCCCCCAAGAGGCCCCCAGGAGGCCCAAAAGAGGCCCCAAAGAGCCCTCAAAACTGCGTCCAAGAGGCCCCTGAGAGGCCTCCCACGAGACCCCAACAAACATGTTCTGTGTCGGCGGCTGGGCAGAGCAACTGCGCTGGCGGAAGAGCGATCACACCGGGGATACCGTTGAAGCGACTTGTGCCACCATGCAGGAAAATGGGAGGAGATAGGGAGGGCGGCCGAAGGAGGGGAGAGAAAGCGAGGGCCGCTCAGGGGGACGGGTCGCACCCGGAGCGAGTGGCGGCCCAAGAAGTCTCCAAGGCGGCCCCAAGAAGGCCCCAAGACGGCCCAAGAGGCCTCCGAGACGGCAACATGGCCTCCAAGACGGCCCTGAAGCGCCCCAAGAGGGCCCCAAAATGGTTCAGAAAGGCATCCAAGACTGCTTCCGACGGCGTCAGACGGGTCAGGAACGCTCTCAGACGGCCAAAGAGGCCCCAGTAAGCTTCAAGGAGGCTCCCAAGAGGCCTCGATAAGGCTCCCAGGAAGCTCCCAGGAGGCCTCAAGGGTGTTCCAAGAGGCTCCCAAGAGGCCTGCTCCTCCTCCTCCTCCTCCTCCTCCTCCTCCTCCTCCTCCTCCTCCTCCTCCTCTTCCTCCTCCTGCTCCGCCGCCGCCGCCGTCGCCGCTCCTCCTCATCCTCCCTATTTGTCCTCCCTCTCCTCCGCTTGTATTATAATTTTTCTTCTTATTACTATCATTATTATATCCCCCCCGCGTGTTCCCCGCGGGATTTCCATCACGGCTGGGGGAACACGTTGCCCGACACCTTGGCAGAGCTCTGGCCAAGCCGTTCGGCCACATGAACGACTTCAAAAAGCAGGGGGCGGCGGTGATTCGCCGTAGGCGTCTTCGATACGTATGTATATGTAAAGAGAAATAAGAAGAAATAAAAAACAACAAAAAAACAACAACCACAAACAAAAAAAAACGCGAGGAAGAGAGAGAGAGAGAGAGCGAGATAGAGAGAGAGAGAGAGAGAAATAGAAAACGCATATATATACACACACATATATAAGAGAGAGAGAGAGAGAACAAAAAAGGAGAGAGAATGAGAGAGAGACAGAACAAAGTCCAAAGAGACGGACAGAGAGACCCCTGACCGGCTCGCTCGGGCAGGCTTGCACCCACCACGCTGCCCCACCCGGCGAGGCTGCGGCAGCGACGGCGGGCAGACGCTCCGCACCGCCCGCCTGCGGAGTCTTCATCGGCTCCGGCTCTCCGGCCCTGGCCTGCCGGGCGCGCGGAAGGGCGAGGGCCGACGTGAGCAGAAGCCAGGACGAGGATAGATCCAGATGCAGATAGACCGACAATCTCTGCGATCCGGCGGCTGTCTCTTCAGAGCCCCAGAACTGCTTTAGTACATTTCGGCTGGCACACGCTATGGGCGCAAGCCCCCAAAAAACGTAAGCAACGTGTCCTTGCCTACTAGGGCCCACCGACCCAGCGGACTCTTCCCTGCTTACTGGGCTGAGATCTGGCGGCTTTGGAGGATGTCTCGGACGCCGCGACTTTCTCAGAGAGTTCTGGCGCGCTCTGCGAGCGCCTGCGAGCGTTCCCGGACGCTCTGGAACGGATTGATCCTCCTTCCAGCCCCGTCCGACGACGTGAGCCGACGCAGATGTGCGCTCTGGAGCGGCTGCGGGGCAGGATGACCCAAGGTCGACTCGGAAAACCGAACGGGCAAGCGAAACACTTTTTTGATCCGCGGGTCGAGAGCGCACCTCTTCCGGTCGAAGCTAAGCGGGCCGCGCGAAGCTTAAATGAACCAGAGATGGGGGAGGGAAAGGGGGGCGCAGCCTCAGAACGAGGCCGGGAGGAGGCAAAACCTCGGGATCAGGCGGTGCCGTAGCAAGAGGCAAGCGAGACACGTCGAAATTCGCAGACCTCGGAAGGCCTCGGAGTCGACGCCGGGCGGCCCGAGCCGAGGCCTGCGCAGAAGCCCCGAACCGAAGTCGGAACTCGGAGTCGAGTCGAGTCGAAACCGAAATCCTCGCCAT